ACAACTGTCAGATCAGCAGTCTTCCCCATGATTGTGTAGCCTAGTGAACCAAACTGAGAGACCATTTTGAAGGCTCAGGAAACCTTTGCAGGTGTTTTGAGTTGATTAGCTGATAGGCATGTCACCATATTCTAATTTGTTGAGATAGTGAATTGGTGGGTTTTTGTTAAATGTGAGCCAAAATCAGCACAATTAAAAGAGCCAAAGACTTAAACTACTTCAGTCTGTGTGCAGTGAATTTATTTAATACACAAGTTTCACAATTTGAGTTGAATTACTGAAATAAATGAACTTTTCCATGACATTCTAATTTATTGAGATGCACCTGTATATGTCCTTTTCATGATTCAAGATTCACAATTATTCATCCATCCAACTGCTTATCCTATGCAGAGTTGCCGGGATACTGGAGCCTCATTCACAAATATAAAATTAATAAATCATACATTACATTGCAACACATCTTAACTTCAACACAGGGGCTTAGTCAAGATTAGCAGGAGGTCCAGTGTCATACCTGTGTGTGGACCATGCACAATCAGTCTGACCCAACTCCCCAGACACCCAGTCTGGCAGCACAGCAGATCTCTGCTACTATCGTGGGACCTAACGCAGCAGAGTGCGGCGCGGGACAACACTTGATGGGTGAGTGCGGGTGCGGGCGGGTAGAGACTCGGGTATGCAGGATGCGGGAGAATAAGGGTGTATCACACTAGGCAATCTTAACCGTGCCCGAGCGCGTCTGACCCCCAAAGCCCATTTCATTTGACTAATGTGATCGGCTCGGTTGGAAGAGGTGGGCCAGAGCGCGGTTCAGGCTCGGGCGCGGCACGCATGTAGTGTCGGAGCGTGGAACTTCTGATACCTGCAGCATGATTGCGTGAACATTTCTGAGCGGCAAAAGTGATAGATCTGTAAAGCAATATATTGTGAGAGGGCCGTGTGTTACCGCGTACCGAACGACTCAAAATAATAAACCACAAAGTTAACAAAAACGATGAACTCCACTGTGCTGAGCAAGAGCGCTTCTCTGCTGTCTTCACGTGCTATCGGAAACTTCCAATTTCCCACTTATGACGAGTTCACACTGCACGATTTTAGCCCGATTTTTCACTCGCCGACAGGTTTTGCGAAATCGCTGACAAATGCCCGAAATCGGAGGCAAATCGGTGCTCGTTCACGAGAGTGACAATCACGCAGTGTGAATTATCGAAGACGCGATCTGAGGGAATCGACGACACGAGCTGTCGGCGATTCACAATCACGCTGCGTGACATGAGTTCTGACTGAAAACTACATCGGCGATGACCTACAGCCAATGAGAGACCAAGATTCAGGGCAGAGGGAAGTTCGGGGAGGAGTTATAGACTAGAATATCAGTATTTTAATTGATATATAAACAATTATATCATACAGAAACAAGCACAAACATTTGCTTGACCAGCCACAACATCAGCATAACAGTTACTGCAAAATTATTTACCTCCAACTCTCTTTGCAGAACACCCAATCCCTGTTCCCTGCATCTCCCTCCTACATAATCTGTTTTTCTTTTTCATATTCTCGCCATATATTTCCTTATCAGTTCTCGCGTGTGTTTTGTTGTGAAACGTAGTTTGCGGACCAGACAGAGCTGTCGACGATTCTTCCTATTGTGAAGTCATGCAGTGTGAAACCCCCTGTCGCCGATCCATCGTGCAGTGTGAACACAGCAGCAACTGAATGCTACCCCAGATAGTCACGCAGTGTGAAAACAACGGCGATCCGACGAGTTTGAAAATCATACAGTGTGAACTCGGCATTAGGGGCCGTTCACATGTCGCGTCTTTTGCGCGCTCAAG